TTTTAACCCCGGTGCCTTCTTCACCATTAAAACCTCAGATGTTGACCAAAAGGCACTAGAATAATTGGCTTTGGGTGCCTTGGCTTTATCTTTTATCCAGCGAATGTAGATAGTCCATCTATTGAACGCCTACCATGTTCCCAAGCGTGGTTTGGATACAGACTCTGTTCAAGATTTTCTTGGCTCAACGCATCTCCTCCTGAAAACTCTGCTGTGATGTTTGGACTCTGAGACTCATGGAGGGGAAGGGACTTCCCTAACATCTGCAAATACACAAGGTCACAGATTTGACTCCACAGTCTACCTGAGCTTCCGGCAGAGAGGACTCCAGCGATGAGAATGGGCCACTCCTCTTTTCTGTATACCCATGGCCCAGGCATTCAATGTGGGGGACATGAAGGCTGGTGTGTGGAGCACAATAAACAGCCCAAGTCAGGAGGGACTTTTCTGTCATGCCTGGAAACCTGGACTTGGTGCTGCAGGCAGTGTGGAGCCGCTGGATGTTCTGAGAGAGTAGAAGCTTACTGTGCCACATCATTTATTCGTCACCATGTGTTTACCGATTAATTAATCTGGGTCAAATAGTAGGCTTGAAGTTAGGGACAAAACTATTACAAAACAGACAGAATCCACCCCACCCATCCCACCTGCCCCTTCCCGTTAAGTGTAAAGTCTCATAAACAGCATTTTTCTGGAATTCTGCTTGAGACACAAGGAATTATTGGTGAGGACAAAGCCTGTGGAAACAAAGAGGACAATTATTTTGAGAAGAGAAAGAGCTTTTAAGTCGTCTTCGAGATGATGAGTCACCGGAGCGTGTGGCATGGCCGCTAAGAACCTGGGAAGAGTACGTGATGCCTCCGCTGGCGGCTTGGATAACTGGCTTGGCGCTGGCGGTGATGTACTTCACTGAAAGACAGCCTACACCCGAGGAAGAGGAGGAATGCACTTGAGGTAGCTGGACCTGACCTGCTTGCGGGGCATCTGCACTGAGGTGACCAGCAAGCAGGGGGACATAAGTCCGAGCGTCCAGGCATGAGAACCTAGATGGTGACTGAAGTTGTGAGAATTGACAAGATCACCCCCAGGAAGAGTGTCCAGAGAGAGACTTAGGAGCCCTGGGGTGGAGCCACAAGCTCTGGTGGCACAGTGATAAAACACCCAGCTGCTAGCCCAAAGGTCAGTGGTACAAACCCACTATCTGCTCTACTGGAAAGATTTCTTTGGAAATCCCAGGGAGCAGCTCTATTCTGTCCTTGAGGGTGGCTATGAATACCAATCAACGCCAAAGCAATAGGGTTTCTTGGGGCGGAACCCTGGAGAATGCCCCAGAAAAGGGATGAGCGGAGGAAAAGGAGCCCTGGAAGACAGCGGAGAAAACCGCCTCTCACAAGAAGCTTTCCTCTTTGCGCTGCCCGGTGTCTTCTACTCAGGCAGCAGCTTGCGATCCTTCCCTGAGCACAAACCTCCTCTCCTCAACTATGAGAGAGTTCATCTTGCAAGTCGAATGGAGTCATGAAGCCATTGATTCTGTTAACAAACATCCCGTTCACTGAGACCTTTAATGGGAAGCCATTCCAGAGGTCAATACAGCTGTCAATGGAACCGTTTCCCCAGGGGCTTGTTGGCTTTTTCTGTTGCACACTGGCAGAAGTTGGCCCTGCCCAGCATCAGAGTAACCACTGCTGCAGAGCATTAATTAGCTGGTGATCCTGCCGACGGCCCTGAGAAGGGTACAGCCAGAAATAGGTCATAAAGCAGAGAGTGGAAAGAGAGCAAGGGTGCCCCTGCCTATTGGATGTGGATCATCCCAGAGAAGCCACCATCCCCTCCAGCAACACAGTACCCCTCACCCACCACGACACTGCCTGAAATTGCATCTTTAAGCATTTATTTCGAAGAAATAAGTCTCGTTGTTGGGATTTAAAATGCTTCATAAATGCGTTCTTGCTTTGTTCTGCAAACCTGGATGGAGCGCCCTCTCCGTACCTTAAACTGGGTGTACGACCTCACAGATAGAGTTCGCAGAAACCTCTTGGCTCAGAGGAATCAGAATGACAGGAAATGGAAAGGAAGCATGGGCCAAGTGCTGTCGCCCCCCGAAGACAGATGGTGTCCACGAAGGTTTCAAGGATACGATACTGTGGAGGGTCTTAAAAGTCTGCATATAGTTTTGCCAGCAGAACCTAAGTGAAATCCAGGCAGAACGAACAGGATAAGTCAAAACAAAGGATAATAAAAGAAGCTGTTGTATTCAGGGACTGCTGCACTTCCAGATGCCTTGTGTATCTGAGGAGAAAAGCAGGAAATAGGTCAGACTGTGAAAAGCCTTGTATGTTATGCTAAGAAATTTGGACTAAGCTTTAAAACACTAGGCAAACACATAATACCATGTGCTCGGGTGTAACACTCTTAAGTTATTATCTGTTGTTAATACCTCACTTCCTTTGTATCATAATAACTGCACATTTGAGGTAAGTGTTCAGAAAGGGGGAAAAAAACTCTTCGAGAGCATGGA